TTACCTTCTTCTCCATGTTTCCCTCCTCGCACTTACAACTCCTTCCCCCCGTTGCTTTTCCTCGCTATGCTATGCTAATCTTCACCCTCTCCAGGGCTCGCTTTCTTCTTCTCTCTTACTTCTATTTCTCTCCCTCTTTCTGTTTTTATTCCTTCCTTCGTCTCTCTTTTTCTCTATATTCATATCGCTTTCTTTTGTTGTCTTTCTTTTTCTGTGTTTTTTCTCAGCATCCGTCTTTATTTCTCTCATTCTGTCTATGTTTCTTCTGGTTCTCTCACCCATAGCAAGACAATCTCCTGGCTTCCATAAATGTGCTTGGTCATGGCTTCCATAAATGCTAACATGCCAGGATAGCTGAGTCGTTACGGCGCTCGCCTTCGGTGCATGGGCAGGCGAAATTAGAACCTGCTTCGCTAATATTTTGTTTTATTTACTGCTCCTCATCCTCCTCCTCCGATCCACATTTCTTCTCCTCGTCTCCTACTTTCTTTTCTCTAACGAATTTCAGCGCGACTGGAAATGCCACGTATAAGGTAAACGCCCCTCATGAGGCTGACAGTTTTTTTATTATTATTATTATTATTATTATTATTATTATTATTATTATTATTATTATTATTATTATTATTATTATTATTATTATTATTATTATTATTATTATTATTATTATTATTATTATTATTATTATTATTATTATTATTATTAATGCACCACACGGGGTTTTCGGTGAGCTTAGACAGCTCCGCTGTTTAAAAACTGCTTGCGCAGCCGTGATAGGCTACTTCAGAGGCAACAATGTACCACGTTTTAGGTTGTACGCATATTCTCGGTTATACAATGCACCAACATAGTTGACTGCACGTTATCTGTTTCAAGAGATAAGGGAAAACGACACTCACCCACATAAACGGAGTAATTAAATTCCGCATCAGATTGCCCTCGCAATGCAATTGAGCACATAAGTGAACGTAAAAGCCACCATCACGATGGTTATTTCATTCAGTTAATAAATAGAAAATTGCGCGACTTTGTTTTGTTTTGTTTTTTGTCACTGGCAGATTTCAGCAATCGTGACGCATTGCACAAGTTCTGCCTTCACGGAGTCCAAGGAAGAGAGAAACAAAGCTAACCAAAGGATGAAGACAGAGATGGACCAAGCGCTGACTTTGAACCAAAACTTTATTCCCGTACAAGAAAATACGTATATGCACATGGGTCGTGGAAGACTGTGGGAGACAGTACATACGCGACAAGAGAGATGTTAGCAATTCTGGAAAAGAAAGCAAGCGCCAACATCCACTAGAAATATATGCTGGTTTTCTGTTGAGGAGCGCTGTCAAAGTTGCACTCAGGCATCGCCTTTATTTTATTTTTGTCGATGCAAAAGGACTCATAAGGCTTTATTATTTTGCGTTGATCAAACATTGCACGACAACCACATATGCTATGGCTGTGCGAGAGTGTGCCTTCGATAGCGCTCGTCACAAACAACTTGATATGTTTCACGTGAATGATGCTGTGTTTCCACAGAATCGTTAACAGAATTTTTTTTATAATTGTTAACAAATATGCTGCCACGTCTGTCCTCTCGCCCCCCTCTATTCATGACCCGTTTGTATACATATCCTCCCTTGTGTGAAACAAAGTCTTGGTCGTAAGTGAACGCCTGGCCCGTCTTTGTCCTGTGGTTCAAGCTGTTTTTGTTTTCTTGAACATACCGGCCCAAATAAGTACGCAGGTAGTCATATTTATTTGAACTGGCAAATAGGGCTTCATACAGGCATAACCTTAGAGGTAAGTTTGTGGATTGCAAGAAAAATGAACTGACAATTCAGACAGAAACGCTGGCCTGTTTGAAAGTATACGTGCATTTTAAATAACGAATGAGTTGACAGAAAAGTGCATGCTGTGTAGAATAATAAAGAAAAAATATGTAGCTATTTAATTTTCGACAGAACTTGTCATTGTTCAAGTTGTAGTTCATAATTTTTTCTAAAATTGCAAGAACTATTCGCGCCTGTGGATAATGCGCTTCACTCTGGTAACCTCGGTTATCTTGAGCTTGAACAGAGAGCAGTCGTTGTAATCAAGGCTGCTTGAAGGTCTTGATTTCTAAGTTATTCAGCTTCAATCGATAACCTTGTCAATATCGCTGTTGCGGCAGAAAATATGTGTAAACGTATACTTACTTCGTAGTAACTACATAATAATATACTATCATTAACGCTCACTATGGTTTCTTGACAGTTTGTTATGTTCAGCCGCCAGCTTTTAAATCGAACGTGTGCTGAGTGACGCCAACTGGCAAATAAAAAATGGTCCAGATTCACTGCAACGACTACAAGTTGGGCTGGTTTACATTCTCAAAGCTGAATATGCAGACATAACGACGAAAGTCGATGGGAAAACGTCCACCATAGCAGAGTTATTGGCATGTGGCACTTCCAGGTTATGGGTTCGGTACCGATTCACACCTTGTCGTCAACTGTCATTTTATTTCATTTTGTTGTTACTGCTCTTCAATGTAAAGACTGGTGCACACCGGCGACTAGCAGCGGTCGCGCGACAATTTGCGACTGGTCGCAACCAGTCGCGAACGGTCGCAAACGGTCGCAAAGCGACTGCGTTGGCCAGTCGCTTCTTGACCGATTTTTCAGTCGCGCGACTGCAGTCGCAAAGCTGCTTAACCAATCAGCGATGCTTAATTTTTTTTTCATTGCGCTGGCTTCCTGCCGCCAGATACAAACGAGTGCGTTCCTCTAGGTCTGTGGCACCATGACCACCACGGAATACTTGGCTTGGAGATGGCGGGGCGCAGCAGCTCAAGCAAAGCGTCGAATTTACGTGGTGGCATTCGCAAGAAGCTAAACACCGTCAAAGTAAAGAGAAAATAAATTGTGCACTGTCTTTTCCCCGTATTCGGAAACTTTTTTTTGTCTTGAACTTGACATGTCAGCGCATTCAACGCAGCGTGTTTGGAAGGCGTTTGTACTTCATGCCTTGGCAATGACTTAAGACTCCACGTTCGAGACGCATTTGTGCTGCATTGTAGGCTGTGGCAAGTCAAGGGAAATTTAAGGATGGTTTCTGAATACGTACGACTCTCGGAAATACTCCTCGTCGTGTCAGCGCAGCTCTGAAGGCAGGCGGCTTGCATGGCCGGTCAATTCCCGCGATCGAAAGGACCGGCTTTTTTTTTCTTTGGAGGCATCTGTGATGCCAGCGCTGACACCATGGCACAGTGCATCAGCACCATGAAATTGTCTTGTTCTTCGCTTGAATCGAACTTGACGCTGTTGGGAACGCTGTGCGAGAACGGACTCAGCTGGCGGCGATCAGCTGATCGCGCCGGTCTCAGGAGTTCTCGCTCATAACGAGATCCGGACGTGACTCTCCGGTTTTGCGACTTCCGGTCGCTCGCATGCAGCCTCTGTCGGTGTGAACATCAGTCGCTTTTTGGTCGCCAGTCGCGAATGGTCGCGCGACCGCTGCTAGTCGCCGGTGTGCACCAGCCTTAACACTTGAAATAACGCCTCGTTAGCTTCATTTGACCTAATATCTGTTGACTTCATATGCTAGTGTCTAAAAAAACTTCTCTTGGAGGTTGTTTAAAGAAGGCCTAAATGTTCGCAGGATAATTCTGCGTTAAATGCGATGAAACCCTTTCAAATATTCCTGCAGTCATTGCGGAAGATGCTAAAACACGAAAACTGGAGTTACATTAGTGTTTTAGCAATAGTATTCGTTCTTATCAGATCAGATAATTGATTCCATAATAGTCGACATGAGATAGTCAACGTAGCATAAGACAGGACCGACTTGCTTACCAATCACTTTGTCTGTCAGAGATGTAAATAATAACCCCTTTTTGGTTTAAATACTGACACCGTGAGGCACTTTCGCAATGTCACCTGTCATGTAGTACTTTCTAGAGAAATGCCTAAAGGAAGAAAGTTGACTGATTATACCTTCAACACTGTTCCGTCAAAACTTCCAATTACTCCTATTTTTCCTCACTTGCAGGGCGTGTACTAGATTTATGAACACCAGTGAAGACACTGCGGCACTCAAGTTCGTTCTCCCGCGTTTGCAAAAGCACGCCAGCAGCTTGCATGGCCTATCCGGACGTGACCTGGTTACGGCCATAGCGACACTATCGGCAGTAAGTGGCATCGACGTTATTTTTGGCATCGGGCTCGGACTGCGCAATCAGAGTGTGCACCCCGCCATCAGGGGTGGCCGCTCGATAAGGCAAGCTTTCCGTGGTCTTCCTGATTTCGAAAGCCACCTGGAGGCAGCTGTTGCTGCAATGGCTAGGAAGGCACCCCCGAAAGAATTAGTCACTGACATCTTGAAACTTGACGATATCGTGAGCGCTGCATTTGAAAACAATTCTGATACGAGGCTACTCAACTTGAGCGCCATCACCGACACAGCTCTACAACTGGCGCGCAGCGATTGGTCGTCTTTATTCCAGAAATACCTAAATTGGTCTCACACAGAATGGTTCTTCTGGACTGGACGGAATCAGGCAGAGAGCATTCTTAAAATCATAGGTGAAAATGCAACGAGTGAAGCGGCACGAGCCTACCTGTCACTGCAGGTAGCTGCGGATGTGCTCGCTCTTTACTTCAAGAGTAGACTACTCTCGAGCGCAGACACTAGCCAGCCGGAAACTCGAAAGACCTGTCTAAAGGCGGCCTGCCGCGTCTCCAGTCACGCCTGCTCGTACCAAATCGACCGACTGCTGGGCCTTCCACCAATCGCCGAAGCCGACACGCAAGCACTGCTCGACGTGGTCGTGGACGCATTCTCCAAGAAACAGGGCTTAATTTCGTGGATAGACAGCTACCGCTGGGTCACACTGATGACAACGTTCAGAAACACCACAGTGACGCTTCCTCACCGACTCGTCAGACCACTGAGCGACCGAAACACGCCCGTATACCCGAACATCAGCCAATGGTCTGGAGACTTTCCTCGATGAGCACCTGACACTAATGGCTGACCACGAAGCGGCGTCCGTGTCTTACCCACTGCCCGTGGACATAGAAGTGTTGGCCGAGCGGCAACTTGACGGTGCTTTCGCATTCAACGAGCTGCTAAACAGCATCGTGTTGTCGGGGGCTCTTATAAGTCCCCCGGTACTGTACTCCGCCACGATGCCAACGTGAGTTTTCCTAAATATCGCATGCAAGACGATGTTGAGATTTAAGAGGTCTCATTCCGCAATTCATATGCCCTATCTATTTCGTTGTTCTTGTTTCTGTTACATGTTTTATTACCATAACAACTAAAGCTGAGAAACTCTCTCAGTGGCCCTCTGATTTTGAAGTTGGTTCTATAACTCCGCGTTGGATGCCTATACTTTAAGAAATCCGGTTGTTCATCTCATACAAGCGTGGTTGCGTAGGCCACTAAACGAAGCACGCCTTAGATGGCTAAACAAAGATCAAGCCGGCCACCCCTTGCGTTGTGGGGCAGGCGCAGTGTATACTATAGAAAGCAAGTTTAAATAGACTTCGTGGCCTCATTCGTGCTCGCGCAAGACAAGCCACAAAAATTGTTAAATGTGAAAGAGTTATGAAGCGTGGAAACTTGGACAAGTTGGTAAGACATAACTGAATATACGAACAGTGCAACTTAAAAGTAGTTACAATGAAGCTACGTAAGCGAAGAAACAAGCGCTCTATTCACAAACAACACAGCGTTCTTTTTTTTCTTGTTTCTTCGCTTCCGTAGTTACATTGTAACTACTTTTAAGTTGTGCTGTTGGTATATTCAGTTGTGAAAAAGTTGAGTTTCATGAACTGAAGTTTAACTTAACCCCGGTGGTTTTTGCTTCACAATTAGAGTACCATTTTTGTATGAACCCCCAACCTAATGTGCTCAACTTGCTATAAACCGCATCCGCAGCGCTTGTCTTTAACAATGCACTCGTAGTACTAGTAAGACCTCCTTTTCGCGTATTTCTTTGCATTTTACCAGCGTGTTACATCATGGATATAACGCTATATCGAGTAGCTTCTGTGGTTTTTTTTTTTCGTTAATATTCTCGTATGTTGCCCCTAAAGAACGTGGTGGTGCATCGCCCACAATGCGTCCCTCGGGGGCGGCGCCTGCGTTTGCAGTGACGTAAACCGCTGAAGAGTAGCTAAAAAATAATAAACACAAAAATTAAGCCCTAAATATGGACCAGCACAGCCAAAAGGAGAGCAAACAAAGTACTGGCGCTACGAAATGTGTGTTTTCTTCTCGCTTACCATGTTTAAATGCACCTTCATGACGTTACGCATGATCTACATGGCATTAGAAACGCAAAGCAAGAACGAATATTTGCGATTGCAACATGCAGTGCCAGTCGAGCAGCACTGTGCCACGTGGTGCTCTCCGCAACACAGCGCCGTGACGAAACGTGATGCCTCGGTGAAAAACGTCAAATTTAAATCACAACATTTACAACTGGCGAGCGATGAGTGTGTTTCAAGAATACACGTTTATCAAGCTTCCTAGCTAGGAGCACATGAAAAAAAAAGGTAAAAGTTTAAATATTCTGGTAGGGATAACGACTTTATTTAACGAGCTTGCTGTTTGTTTGTTTTTTTTTGCTTTCTATTGAACCGCAAGTGATGTTGCCAGTAGGTGTAGATCTTACCCCCTTCTGTTGCTTTGCAGCAAGTGTTATGTTTTTCCTCATTTTGAATTATTCTTCAGTGGTTGTTCACCGAAAAAGACGGTGGTTTCCTACTTTAACTCCACCTATATTTCTGTCATTAATCTTATGTCTTATGTGCAGCATAAAGAAATGTTTGAACATGTCAGTGCTTCAGAACGTAGAAATATTAATGCGAGATAACGTCATACTTCATTTGTGAAAGGGCACCCACATTTGAAGGGAACAAACAAAATTCACTTTCACTACTGTAATAATCAAAATTTTTGCAGTTAATTGAGGAAGAATGCTGAAGTAGAAAGGAGGCAGCGCATTGTAAAATATGAACCAGCAATGTAACATTTGCTTGTTACTAACGCGATGAATTAGTACTGACAGCACTGTCAGTACCAAGCAATTAAATACGTAATTGATTGGTTCTCGCAGTGATGTTGGTTGTGCGATGGTACCATTGCATCCTGCAGCTTCTTTCACTACATCAGACCATAGTAGTTGACAAGTATCCTATTTATTAATTGCCTTTATAACGTAAGTGAAAAGCATGTCTACTCCATCATGTGGGTATTTTGGGGCGTCCGAATAAAACACTTAATCAACAAACAATTGCTGACACACATTTGTCCAAGTTAACTGAGATTACAAGGTTATACTGAGCTACTGAACTACCGAGTTAACGCAACATTCTTATCTCATTTTTTTTTTTGACGCAGAGAATTCAATTTTGGAACAATCGGCTCCCTTCTGGCACGTGAGATTGCACATGTCATCACTCCAGCCAGCAGTAAAGAATGGTGGGACGAGCGTTCGCACCAAGGCTTCCTCGAAAAAACCGAGTGCCTTCGAAAACTTCACAGGCGAGCACATTTCACCATGGATTTTTGTATCTGCTAACGATTCATTTTCTGTCAACCGTCTAAGCAACACTTGGTGTTCTCCAAAAATATGCGGAGCAAAACAAAAAAGTTTGAGCCGTATGTCGCCAGTTTGACGATTTTTTTGCAATAACAAACGTATTCTTCATGACATCTCATACTTATTAAATGGTGACGCAACCTGAAAAGGTTTTATACAAAGCTATGAGAACCGCATTTCATGTAACATTGAATTAAAACATATCTTAATGGATGGCCTGGAGACGTAGAACGAACACGCACAGAGTTACGCAGCGAAATTGCGAAATCCGATTCGCACATGAAATAGCCATCACATAAGTACCGCTAACCTATTTTAGATTTGACCGCTTCACGAAGACACCAAATACACAAATACTGTATTCTGTCTCACACTTTATACTTTATTGTTTTTTGTATTGATTTTGTATTTCATTAGGGTAGGGTGGGGTAAAATGAGACACAGGGTAAAACGTGACATTTTGACTTTGACAGCATCTGCAGCTACTGCAAAAACTACTTTTTTTCTCGCTTTTCAAGCGATAAGTGATAGTCCTTTTCTTCTTTTTCATATGTAAAAATTGATGATTATTCACGTCGTTCATGCGGGAAAAATTAGGCGGCTGGTGTCAGTGTGTGCGCGTTTGTCAAAAAGGGGCGAAATTCTGCTTGGCCAAATTTTATGATCCGTGCATGAAGCGATTCCTGTGTCAGTCATCATCATCATCAGCCTGACTACGTCCACTGCAAGACAAAGGCCTCTCCCATGTCCCGTCAGTCAACTCGGTCCTGTGCTTGCTGCTGCCATTTTATACCCGCGAACTTCTTAATCTCATCTGCCCACCTAACCTTCTGTCTCCCCCTAACCCGCTTGCCTGCTCTGGGAATCCAGTTAGTTACAATAATGACCAGCGGTTATCCTGTCTACGTGCTACATGCCCGGCCTATGTCCATTTCTTCTTCTTGATTTCAACTATGATACCCTTAACCCTCGTTTGTTCCTTAATCCACTCTGCTCTCTTCTTGTCTCTTAAGGTTACACCTACCATTTTTCTTTCCATTGCTCGCTGCGTCGTCCTCAATTTAAGCTGAACCCTCTTTGTAAGTCTCCAGGTTTCTGCTCCGTAGCTAAGTACCGGCAAGATACAGCTGTTATATACCTTCCTCTTGAGGGATAGTGGCAATCTACCTGTCATAATTTGAGAGTGCTTGCCGAATGTGCTCCACCCCATTCTTATTCTTCTAGTTACTTCAATCTCGTGGTTTGGCTGCACGGTTATTACCTTTGTCAGTACAGCAACGTAAGTATTTATTTTGTTAATTTAGACTGCAAGCAAAATAACGCCAAAGTTTTGTTAGTTAGGTGGCTGGGCACAAAGCAGATTTTTTTTATTCTAGAATTTTAGAGGGGCAAAACGTAATAGAAAGACATCCAATTACCTTAGGCAGTGCCTTATCAATTGAATCATTACTTTACACTTTCATTATATATTTTTAAAGATCCCACGTGGTCGAAATTTCCGGAACCCTCCACAACGTCGTCTCTCATAATCATACGATGGTTTTGAGACGTTAAACCCCACATACATATCAATAAATATCCTTATATATTAGATTTATCTGTTTATAAGGGTTAGGGCATGCAAAATAATATCATATATAGCTTTCTGGGAAGAAAACGACATGAAAATGTTCCGATTGTTGTTTAGCACATGACTCCCTCCATTCGCGCTGCATCGGAGCTTTTCCGTGTTCCCAAGGATGCTTTAATGCGACGCACAAAACAATGTTGGAATCTCCAAGTCAAGTCACTCACAAACACGTGTTGGTATTGAGTTTTAACAGTGTCTTTGTAATAATCCAATAAAAAACACAAGTGCTGGAAAACCTGCATCTATCACAGTTTCAAATTCATTACCTTACAAAGCCTGGAGGACGAAGTTAAATGTCATGAAATGCCTCAGCAGTTCTGCATCAAAACGTCAAAAAATATCCATGATGAGACAAGCGCAAAGAATACACACACTCAGAGAGGACACAAACAAGCGCTTGGGCCCTTTGTACTAGAAATTACATTTAGGATGACTGCCAGTTCGGCGTGTTGGTAACGATTCATGATGAGCTGATATGAAAAAGATATGAATAAGATACGTCAAAACATCTCTAGCATTCAATTATTCAATTATCCAGTGTGGTGCAAACGTTCAACAAAATAAAAGTTTGACACAAAGAAAGACTGGTGGTCTTTGATCTGCAAGGAGTTTCGGAGCTATACAACATCGCGTTCTGTCTAGGTGAAAACTGCGGAGTCCAAGAACTGGGCATTTTAAGACTGCGTAAAGGCACACAGAATGAATTTCAAGCCTTTCTACTGCAAAAAAAAAACTGAAGGAATAATTTTTTTTCACACTGTCTCGTTCTGCCCTACGCTGGGTCTCGTTTTGCCCCACAGGTTAAGGCAAAGGAGACACCTGGTGTATTTTTAAAATTTATGTTGAAATAATGTTTTGAATAATGGCAACATAGCAATATTTATGCAGCACACACCTTACAAACCCAAAGGAAAGTTTCTGCATTCATGTTTAATTGTAAGTGGTAAATTAAAAATAAATATTCACTTTTTTAAAATTTTTGTCGTATTTTACCCTACCCTTGCTCTCCTCCAATGGGGTAATTAACCTTTATATAAAACGTGGCTAGATACGAAACCTGTTGAGTTTGTGCACTATATGTTATTACCATGTCCCTATTTTGTTTTCGTTTGTTCAAAGGGCGCTTCATTACTTTTTCTTATTAACGATAGAACTGCTTCTCTAACGGTGTCAATTGTTTCACGAATTGACGACCACAAAAAGTTTTAGAATTTTTCAAACAATAGCGGAGTAAAAAACTTTTCGCACACTGTAATTGCTTTCCCTCTCCTCTAGTCCATATAAGCGCCCAAGAAACCTAGAATAGGGAGGAATAGCATGGAGGATGTAATTTGCGTCACGCGACTTCAAGACTTAGAACACCTTTTTCTTTCTTCGTACACATGGAATACCTTCAGAATGCTTTGCGAGCACGTGGCGGCCTGTGGTGGCCTGCGGCCGTGGCAACTATGCCGTTGAAAATGATCGAGTAACCCAATGGTTGAGAATTTTCGGTATATGGCGTGGTCTATGAAGTATACGCCATCATTTGTGGATTTAAAAAAAGGGAACAACTTATGGCTACGAGAATGAGAATTGTGAATTTCGGGCCGCGTGGTGGGTTACAATGTTTGGAGCCTCAACCACCAATCAGCAGATGCGGAAAAAATGTGGCAGGGCCCCGTTAGTATATAGCACACATGAAAAATTTGAACAGAGCCAAACTAGCACCATTTAGTTTTTCTTTAATTAGGTGAATGACATGGAAATCGACGAGTATAAAAGCTTGACAATGATGGAATGATGTCTGCACATTTCCTTTGTGCCTTATACAGAGTGCTCAACTTGTTTACCGCGAAAACCCGCGCATACTATAGGTGCCATTCCTGAAGCCATCCGATGAAACTGACTCGCAGGTCGCACTTGCTGGTGAAAGTATCGGTCGCTGAGAGTCGCTCCTTCGTCAACTATTACTTTTACTCGCGCCTTCATAGCCAGGGTGTTCCATGTGTTTCGTTTGCCCAATCATTGTTAAGCGCGCACACGATGCACAAGTCTTGACAGTTCACTGTGCTCCAACACTTAAGTTTGGTACTCGATCTGACTGATTGATTTCATACAACCTTAAAAGCAGCGTCATTTATTTTTGCTAATGACTTCGAAGTAATATTCAACATTTGCATCAAAATTAACACGTCTCCGAAATTAAGACACGAGATTTCTTATCTTGTGGCACTACTACAAGGATCAGGTATGGATTATCAGCTAAGCCAAATTTCCTTCCCAATAACTACGGCTGCTGTAATAAAACGAATATATCTAGACGTACGTTTTTCATACTTTAACGTGCAAGACTTTTTTGCGCAGCTCGTTTGATGGAAATTCTTCGGGCTGGAACGTTGCGACCGCATCGAAGCTGTTCGCGTTGACCATGGCGGCGAGGATTTCGCTGGACGGGCTGCTCAGCGGTGCGGGTGGGTTCGGTGGTCCACCTCTACCTGGCTCGAGGCTACCCCCGACAAGTCCCGACGCCATCAGCACGTTCTTCCGGCGGTTCTGCTTGCTGTCGTGCGGTCGCGACGAAGCGCACATCTCGGCGCGCAGCCTTTGCATGATTCCGCTGATGGGAATGCCAGAGTTTGCGGATGCTTTTCGTTGCCGTCGTGGCACAGTTATGAACCCCAACGACAGCTGCGCCCTAAAATTTCCAGCGCAGTGACAGTTAGAGCATGTCAAAAAGGTTTTATAAAAATATACTTGATTTATAATGAATCAGTAAGGATTATTCAATGCAATGGGCTATATCATGTAGTTTTCAATCGATAAAGCTAGCACCATTTGCTGCCAAACGTATTGTATAGTTTCGAGTCCAACCTAATTACGCTTCAGTTGACCCACCAACAAGTTTAACCTGTCATCTACCAAGTGTATAAAATCCTATCTTGACTTCCAGTGGCGTGCGTAAGCCTGGTGAAAGTTCTCATTCTCCTGTAACAGCATCGCCTTCGAAACTACGCTGCTCGTATGGGCAAGAACACAACAATCACAATTGTCTAGGACGCTCCGATGTCTGCAACTTAGGAATGAATGTCCAACCGTGGACTGAAATGAAAGGTACTGGTTTTAGTACATACGGTTCACTCTACGGCATTGCCTCATTTCGTCGTTTTATGAAAACCACGATATGCGCCACACGTCACCGAGACGAGCGAAAAAACGGCACGACAGAAAAAATATATTTTCACCAATGTAACGATTTTCACCAATGTAATGAAAAATAAATTGTATATTTCATCCTATCCTGTCATCTGTACATGACATTAAGAAGAAGAACACAGCCACGTGCTTCGTCATTGAGGAATTTATCTGTGAGACGTATTAAATTCTGAAGAAAATGCTATTGCCTGTCTGAAACTGTCCAATAATTTTTCGTCAAGTATTTTTGTTGGCATGCCATTTTTTTACATACCTTGGTTATATGAGGGTGCGCATCGTAGTTTTTATGAAATGTATATAAGCTTCACTCTAGGCATCGCCTCACTTTGTCATTTTATGAAAACTACGACGCACGCCCTCAGGTCACCAAGGTGAGTAAAAAAAAAAAATGGCATGCCTAAAGAAAAGGTGCGACATGAAGGTGACAGCGAAAATGCGCCGGGAGTTTCTATATAATTGCTATCGCAAAAAAATGACTCGTATTTTACCGCAAGAATATCAATAAAAAAGAAATACAGCAAGACAGCTTCCGTTCATTTCTCAAATGTTGGGCGCTAGGTGCCTCCCCAGGAATAACCGCAACAAAACAGCCCAGTGGCTAACCTAACTCGAAACTCGAATAGCGAGAAAACCAGAGGCCGGCTCTAAGAAGATGAATTGAAAGCAGCCCCGGACCACTACTACTAAGAAGGCAGGGTGCGGTAGCATCGTGTGCGATGGTTGAAGGCCACGCCGTACCAAGCAGGAACGCAGCCGCACGTTTCTCTTTGGGTTCAATGCTTCGGAACCTCGCCAACACAAGACTCGGAATACTAAACAGCAATCTCTCTTTTGCTGCTGTTCTGCAATTCATTACATCTATTCCGGAGTGCTATCTTTGCACGAAGTCAACACTAGGGTAGGCTTTCTTTACTTACCAAGCTTCTTTTTATGATTCTTCTTTTGTCTAGAATTTCCTCTACGCTTCGTGCCTGTATCTGGTCTCCCAATGAGGGTTCTAATCCTTTCGATAAACATCTATTACCGATTCCGGCGTCCCTTTCTCACTCTTGGCGTCTCCTTCGAGACTCCCTCGCTCCCTCCCTGTGTTGTCACGCAATTTCACGAAACGCAGTACTGGTAGCCACTGAAGGATGGTCTCTTCTTGGAGCTATCTCAGCCTGACAACCGGGTGAGGCCGAGCGGAACAAGAAAACGCCGGCTGCTTCGTCCCGTGCTGGACCATGTTCTGGCTCGGTTATATCGTGAAAGAAGGCCGACAGTCGTCTGGGCAGGTGAGCGTCTCTTTCCCTTTCACCGTCGCACCTCCGTGGCCATTCCACCACCTGCGCTACAAGCACCAGTCGGGACAGCAGTCGGTATATTTGCGAAGGCGACTGCATTGGAGCAACATACACTACCCAGCCGGACATTTGCAGATACTGACCCCGCAGGGGAAAAAAAAACAGGTAATTTTTGGCAATTCGAAAATGCTGGAATTCGGGTGTACAGCAGGCAACCCGTACATCGGCAATAACCGTGGTCAACGTATTTATCATACTCAAGACTCCTTTCGTAAATTAGCTGAATTTGTGGGAAGTACACGAAATTTAATCTTATTTACAAGGATCGCTTATGTCTTCCTATAATTCCGCGCAAATAAGTACTCTCCGTCTATACAGCGCTTTCAATCATTATTCCTTTTGGAGCCTGAACTTTGATTTTCATACACACGCTGCAAGATCATGAGCATTAGGAAATCAGGCTTATAGACGCTGCGCATAAAAATTACTAACAGCATTGTTATCTCGTTATTTTTTACATCACGCCATAAACGTTGAGCATAGCTTTTTAAATGTGCCAGTTGACTTAAATTTCAAACTGAAACCACGTGAAAGTCATGCGTACTTTTTTTTGTTTATTGTCTTGCCTGCTTTTCCTGAGTTTGAGCATCCCTATCCTTCAACGCGAACGGTGGTCCACCAATGTCACGTGTAAAGCTATTTGCTTGCGTTTGGTCAATATACGAACGACTGACCCTTCGGTCGAACAACACCGGCAGGAAAACCCCGGCAGAATTTCCTCATTGTCGACGAAGACGTAGGAATCAGCGACGTGGTAGATAACACTGATGTTGCACTCTTCCTAGACACGGCTTAGTTGCGGAAAAGCGGGGAAGACCTTGCACGTGTTTACTGATACAGAAGTTCTGTTATCTCCCGTTTTTACGTTGCCTTTCCGTTACTTTCTCGTATCGTGTATGATATTGACATACAAACCAAAGCTGCAGCTCAAGCTGAAAGGCCTGCTAAATAATGACTGCTATAACAAATGCCTGGTCGTTGTTGAATAATCACTCAGGGTTAGGAAAGTCGGCTATATACATTGAAGCCGAGAGTCCCATAACAACTGTTCGTGCACATAATATGTGTTAATGGTGGCAATCTTCAAGAAAAAAAAAAACGTGATATAGTGTCATAAGCAAGAAACTGTACACCGAGTTTCTTAAGCTTTCACTTGAGCACATACGAGAGGAAATTCAGTCTGGAAAGTTGTCAAAAATTATGAGTACGACGTAAATATTTATTATCAGCCTAAACGCGATGATTGCAACTATTAAGTGTGAATAAAAATATCGTTGAATCGCGCATCTGTAATAAAAATAGATCTGGTGCCAAATTTACCAAACACAGACCGGAACGAGTGCCATCGCTAGATGCCGAGCACAAAAGTTTGCAGCGTTAAGAAAATGACACCGTGACCTGAACCAAAAAATATGGCATTTCATAATATTAAATGTACTTTTTGAGCCAGAAGTGGCATTTTAGAGGCTGGCAGGCTCGTATTTCAGCACGTGATGCATCGATTTTTTTTCTATATTTCTACCAGTTTGGTATATTCAATAGAAACGTAACTTGACGTATCACCTTGAGAATTTAAAAAAAGTACTAAAAAGAAAGCGGCAATTGCTTTTATGCGACGTATCCCCGTTGTGACTGCGCCATGAATTGCATACGAAGATAACCTCTGAATACATTGTTCGCGGTTATTCGATCTTCTTGCATCCTCTACAGGATGAATGCAGCCAGAATCTCTAGAACTTTATGAACACTTTGTGAATGTTTTGTGCAAAGCAACTATACTGGAATATCAGTACTGAAAACATTTCCTCTGGATTATATTTAAAACGTAGCGTAACTGCCGCCAGGACACCCGTACTTACGCAGTACATCCTTGTCAACATATACTAACCTACACAGCGACACGTGATGCATAGATTTTTTTTTCTGCATTTTTACCAGTATGGTATATTCCATAGAAACATCATTTGGCGTATCGCCCTGAGAAGTTAAAAATACTAAAAAAGAAAGTGGCACTCGTTTTTATGCGACGTATCTCCATTGTGACTGCGCCATCAATCGCGTACAATAGTGACCTGTGTACTCCAAACGCGATAGCGTTAGACAGCTCGTTTCGCATGAATTCCGGTGTCGGTGCCAACGACGTCATGGGTGTCGTTGATTGTGAGCGAAAAATCTCCATCTTGTACGTCACCGATTAATCGAGAAAGATGAAAATAAAGTGTCTAATAACAATTTCCAGGTCCGAGTGAGGATCGAACCCAGGCTACTTGCGTGGCAAACATGTGTTCTCGCGCACAGTCACGCGGCTGCTTGGTAATACCGTGAAATTAGCTTTCTATGCTTAAAATGCAGTGAAAATAACTTCCCAATAACGCATGTAATATCGCAGTAACTACGCGGTACAAGCGTACATTGCCATCGGCTGTCAGAACATGTGATTATCAAACCGACTTCGTGGTTTAGAGCCGGTCACACACGTTACTATACGTATTCTTATAAGACAATTCAGTGGTTACATTGCAAGTTAGAAAACAGTTCACGGGCATACATACCCGTTCTTTACAGCATGCTACCCACTACAAAGAATGCAGCCTTACGTGAAAGCTTCACTGACACCCGCCACTTTTAATTTTATTGATTCCATTGTAGTAATTCAAAATTTAAACTGTTCGAGTGACATCATATAATAAAAAGTATGCACAAAATAGTTGGCACTAGAAACAGCATATCACTATCCAATTTCATTCTTAAAGGTGGAGCTTAAGTATCCCCCCTTTTTTATTGACAACAATACGAAAGCGGATCACAGAACCAACTTTTGTTTAGCTCACTGTCCTCAACTGAAAGCAATTGTTGGCATACTAAAGCAGCGCCTCTAAATGACGTGATAAATGAAAATTTGCAAATTTTCGCGTAAGGCGTGAATAAATATTTAAAATGTTAATTAGTGAGCACATTCATTATTTTAACGTGATATCATTAAAAAGCTCGTTTCGCTGATATTCCGGCAATGGCGTTGGCGTCGATGTTTGTGAGCGAAAAATCATCTTGTCCGTGACTGAAAAAACAAGAGAGGCA